ATGACGGAGGCCCAGATGGCGCTAGTACATCGCCACCTCATCGTGGCCCGAACAAAAATGGACACGGAGGGCGATGGACCTGAATTCGTCAATTTCAGCCACAGGACAGGATGGATACTGGTAACCTACGCGAACCTGCATAGCCATGACTAGCTTGTGGGTGTAATACCAAAAATGAAGTCATGACCTGAGGCTCAGCTAACCACGATGTCGGAAAGCGAGCTTCCAAGGCCGTCTACGGCAACGACTTTTGTACCCAAGACGGAGGCTGCCTCAGCTGCCTTGAGCGTACAAAATAAAGGCATAAATCCTGGACTCTGGAGGGTCCTAAACGAAGGAGGAAGAAGGAGGAAGCCTTGTCACCTTCTCCATCGACGAACCTTCCGTTGAAGCCCTCAAAGAGAAGGATTACTGGGTGACCCACGGATTATAGAGGATCTACTTCAAGATCAAGGGCGACCATCAGGGCCCTCAGCATCAACAGTCATCTTCCGAACCACCTCCCGCCGCCGAACCGCTGCCGTCGACCAGTGGGACACAGAAACCTCAGGGCTCACAACCTCGGCGTGGAAGAGCGCCGGTGGTCGTGGGCGGGGACGGCGAGGGAAGGGAAGGGAAAGGTGAGCGCTAAAGCGCGACCATCGCCTCTAGCGGGAGGATCACGAAGTGCCGCGAAAGCTGCCAAACGAGGAAAATAAAAATGGCCAACCAGGGGGCTCGGGCAAGGATTCTGCAAGCAAACCTCCAACACGCCGCTGCTGCATCCGCAGTAGTGGAACAGTGCTTTGCAGAACGGAAGGTCGACCTTGCCCTGATTCAAGAACCCTGGGTGCATAACTCAACCATACTAGGACTTAAAGCAGCTGGTAATGTGCTTTATAACTTTGATGGCTTGAAACCCAGGGCGTGTATTGTTTTCAGCAAAAACACTAACTATTTGCCTGTTACAGAGTTGTGCACTGATGACCTTGTAGCAGCATTTGTTAATCTCAAGGGATGGCACGGGCCCAGAGTGCTCGTGTGCTTGGCCTACTCGCCCGGAGACAAAGCTGACCCGACTGCTGAGCTCACACCCGTGGTCGACTACGCCCGGAGACTTCATGCTGAGCTGCTTGTGGGGTGCGATGCGAACGCCCACCACAGCGACTGGGGAAGCACGAATATTAATGACAGGGGTGAGTTATTAAACAATTACCTACTAACCAATTGTCTTCAAACTTTAAACAATGGCTGTGAACCAACTTTTGTAACTAGGACGAGACAAGAAGTGCTAGATATTTCTTTCGCCACTAACAACCTGGCCAGGCATGTAGAAAACTGAAGGGTTAGTAACGAAAACTCAGTGTCGGACCATAGGCATATATGCTTAGAACTAACATCGGAACTAAGTACACAAACTAGTACATTTAAGGATCCTAAGCGCACCGACTGGGATGAATACAACAAACACCTTGTACGGAACTTAGAAGTAATTTCTAAATGCATTAGAACGGTTGAGAGCATTGAATTCGCGGTAGAGCTGTCTCTAATGGCATTCAAGATGCCTTCGAGGCTAGCTGTACACCCAAAATCAAATCATCCAAACGGAAAGTACCGTGGTGGAACTCGAAGCTGAAAAAGATTAGGGAGAAAACACGAAGGTCATTCAAAAGGGCCAAAATCACCCAGGAATGGGATGTCTACAGGATGGCCCTGAACGAATACAGTAAACAAATTAGAAAAGCCAAGCGTGCATCATGGAGGAAGTTCTGCGACGAGATAACTAATACGCCTCAAGGAGCATGACTTCATAAGATCATGGCAAAGGAACACTGTAATCCCTTAGGTCTTCTTAAAAGACCGAACGGGTCCTTCACGACTAACGAGAAGGAAACCTCGCAGCTAATGGTTACCACCCATTTTCCAGGATTTACTGATAATGCAGTAGCGATCACTCTTCGAAGGCCTCTACCAGAAGACTGGAGAAGAGCCGCTCTCGTTATTAGGCCTGGAATAGTGAAATGGGCCATTAACTCGTTCAAACCTTTTAAATCGGGTGGAACTGACGGCGTGGCCCCGGTGCTTTTACAGCGGGGTGCCGCCAATCTCATCCTTTATCTGGTAAAAATCTTCAGAGCCGGTTTTGCCTGGGGATACATTCCAGAATCGTGGGCTAAGGTGAAAGTCGTGTTCATACCTAAAGCTGGAAAGAAGGACTATACATCACCAAAGTCCTTCAGGCCAATCAGCCTTACGTCATTTCTTCTGAACACCATGGAGAAGGTATTAGACGATTATATCAGACAAGGGAGTTTCATAAAAAAAAACCATACATGATACCCAGCACGCCTACCGAAGCGGCAGATCTATGGAGTCTGCCCTACTAAACCTTATAAACAAGGTTGAAAAGGCAGTGGACGATAAAGAAATAGCACTCGTTGATTTCTTAATGTGGAAGGAGCGTTCGATAACACGCCCACCGAAACATTAGTAAGAGGATTAGTTCATAAAGAGATTAACTCCACTACTGTAAGATGGATAAGAGTCATGCTAGAGAGTAGGACAGTGAGGATGGAATGGAACTACTCAATAATTCACTAGAGTTAGCAACAACAAGAGGATGCCCGCAAGGTGGAGTACTTTCTCCGCTAGTGTGGACTCTTGCGGTGGACCAGCTTCTCCATAAGATGGCTGAACTCCGCTTTGACACCCTGGGCTATACCGATGACCTGGTGGTGATAATGAAAGGAAACTGTCAAAGTATGCTATCGTACCTTATGCAGAGGGCGCTGAAAACAATTAACTCATGGTGCAAAAACAATAATATGTCGATTAATGCAGGCAAAACCGTGGTCGTCCCATTCACAAGGAAACAAAAACTGGACAAGCTTTCGCCTCCGACCATGAATGGGAGGCTCATTCCGTTCTCGACGGAGGTCAAGTATCTGGGGGTAACACTGGACCAGAAACTTACCTGGAACGCACATGTAGACGGAATTATACAGAACTCTTAAAGAGCTCTGATGATATGTTGTCGGCTAGCGGGAAATAGATGGAGCTTGAAACCCAATATAGCCCTCTGGCTCTACACAGCAATCATAAGGCCGATAGTGTCTTATGCCTCGGTGGTTTGGAGTAGAAAAACGACACAGAGTACTATTATATCAAGACTTAACAGTCTGCAAAGGACTGCCTGTCTTATAGTAATAGGAGCTATGTCTTCCACCCCGACTGCTGCTCTTGAGGCTCTGCTAAACCTGCCACCCCTACATCTACACATTGAAATGGTGGCGAGGGTTAGTATGTACAGGGTCACTAGCAAGGAGACGAAGACATGGCTGTCATGTAATTTGAGGTACCTGAAGGACTCAATATACAATATACCAATCTTGAGGATGCCTACTGACACCATGCCCCCGAGAGTCAATTCACACAGGTCATATCTTGTAGAGATACCCACCAGGGACGACTGGTCAAACAATCGTATAGCATGGAAAAATGGAAGCTTAAAGTGGTACACTGACGGCTCCAAATCCGCCCCTGGGGTAGGATGTGGAATTTATGGAAAAGCCCCAAGGAAGGCTATAAGTCTGAACATGGGAAAGTACTCCTCAATATTCCAGGAGGAGGTGTACGCCATTTTGGAATGTGCGGCAGCCAATCTGCAAAACAACTACCTCAATCGTACTATCTACATTCACTCTGATAGTCAAGCAGCACTCTTAGCACTAGCCTCCGACGTAACTAGATCGAAGCTGGTCGAGAACTGCAAACAGGCATTGAACTCTTTGGGCAACAACAACAAAGTAGTTCTACGATGGGTTCCGGGTCACGCTGGGCACGAGGGCCATGAACAGGGTGCTAAAGACGCTCTTATCGGACCAGAACCGTTCTGTGGCGTCCCTCAAAGCCTAACCCAGCTAACCTTGAAAATGTACTGCCATTATGAAGCTATTCAACTATGGAGAAACACTCCCAGTATGAAACACTCGAAGACCCTGAATAAATCCTTCAACAAAAAGGCAGCATCAAAGGCCTTAAACCTAACCAAAAACAACCTTCGCACACTAATACGAGCACGACAATGTAATCTTGACCGTGAACTGTAGTATGTGGAGATCACAATAGATCAGCAATGGTTGCAGTGATACTGGGCTGCATAAACCCAAGATAGTCTGCAATTTGAAACAATACAATACAATACTGGTCTCTAAAAAGAGTTATAAAATGTAATTTGATTTCTGTATCCCTAAAAAGAAAAGTTTTTGATACCTGTATACTTCCAGTGCTAAGCTATGGATGTCAAACATGGTCATATTCAAATTACACAGTGTCAAAACTAAAAGCATGTCAGCAAGGAATTGAAAGAAGTATCCTAGGTGTAAAACTTAGAGATACGTCTTCAGGAAATAAGGAGAAGGACAGGTGTGGTAGATGTAATCCATTAAGTGAAGACCTTATAATGGAAGTGGACAGGAAATATTATGAGATCCACAAATCTAAAATGGGCAAAAGACAGTATGGTATCCTGGTAACGGACAATGGAAAAGAGGTAGGCAGACAAAGAGATGGGAAGATGACCTACCGAAGGGATGGAGAAGAGCAGCCAGAGATAGAGGGGAATGGGCTAAACTGGAGGAAGCCTTTGTTAAAGGACAACCTGGGGGTACAGATGCTGATGTCGGTGGAAATAACAAATAACTATAGTATAATGTAGAAAGTCAGAGAATGAAGGTTATTTTATTTTATTTATTATAAGTGAAAATAGCAAAGGAAAATCAATGGTGCCATTTAATGAAAAAGCTGTTTTCACCGGTTGGCTGTAACATATACTTATGAAAACCCTATTGCTAATTGTTTTAACTTACAATTCTGAAATGAAGCATTTATTGTCAGTTAATTTTTAAGTACAGTACTAAATATGTGTACCCTTTAACTGAGCTATGTGTAATTTATGTAAATTTTTGTAGGTACTATATTTTTATAAATGTTTATATAAAATAAAAAATCCTTAAGTTTACCCGGTCTTCATCAGAAAGAGGTTCAGCTTGTGCTGGAGGAGGGTCAGGCTCCCTCTTGGGTGGTGGTGTTATTTCCAGCTCACGCTGCCACTGCTGACGGAACAGCGATAACTCATCTTCACCATCACAATTCTGAAACAAACACAAATGTAGCAAGCAGTTACATAAATATATATATTTTTTTTTACGTATTACTGAAACAAACCTGTACATCATCTTGCAAATTTAGTTTTTCCATAGCGTCACTTTCATCTTGTAGATCATTAGAGCGAGATGAATCTTCCGTTTCCTCTCCCTCACACTCATTTGCTGTTCCTCCAGAAGAACCCGAAGGTGCACCAGCTGATGAATCCTTCAAATTATATTTTAACAAAAATTTTTACTCCTAACTCTAAGTTCTATATTATTTCCAATTGGATTCAAATGTACACTTTGAATGTAAGGCAAAAGCCTAATGTAATATGTAAGTGGGTGCTAGCTAGTGTCCTAATTTGTATATAAATCAAATTAATAATAATACGAAGCCATAATTTATACAGTAATTTTGCAATAAACATACAAAAATTTGGCATACCATGGTAAAAGAACGTTACGTTCTTTGAATCACGATGTTTTTTAAATGTGTCAATACTTTAAATAACGTTATAAAATTAAAATCTTGTTTATTTATAGACTGCTAAAATTCTGAAGGTAAGTTCTGTATAAAATTATTGAAACTCAAAATTTTCATGCAACCATACCAGCAGTAGGTAAACAGAAAAAAATAACTTGTGCCAATTTGACAATTTTGACATTGGGGTAGTGATATGTCTTCTACCTGATTTTAATCGAATAACTTAGCGAATTCTTCAAATTAGTTATCACACGAAAAATAAATATTATAGTCTTTATTTAATACTACTTTATTTTACTGTTGCCGTTGAGCGTTAGTTTATTGATAACTTTAAAAATAATGTGCGATACTCTTACAATATCTATTTTGTAATATATTATACAGGTATTCGTTTTCATAAAGAAATACCACTCGAACTGGAAACAGGTGTTTCTTTGAAAAATCAACTGTCGGTTTGATACATCCGTCATTATTGTTCTTCAAAAATAATTAAAACTGATTTATATGTTTCTTAAAAAATCGGTGATAACAGTCTGTTACGAAATTGGATTCTAAATAGATTGTAAAATTTAAAAATCTAATATGTACAGCAAGCCTTGTTTTCACATGCATTAGGTGTAAAATACAACTTAATAGGATATTAGTAGATCGCTTGTGATGTGAGATCGCCCGATGACGTGATAGGTACTTGAAGTATTCTGATTGGCTGATATTTTCCCGAAATTCAAAATTTTGCTTTTTGCACAGGTACAAACGGCAATAATCAGTCATATTTGTACGATTTTCTTGGCTGATTCATCACAGGAAATAAGGAGTTCATAAGTTAACAACTCCAGCCATAGCTGATGAATGCAAGTTAATTTGTATTGACTTTCTCAGATTATCAAATCAGTGAGCCATATTGTCAATCTTTATTGCTCATTGTACGCTAATAGTCTTCCGAATTAAGAAAAGTACAAAATCTCAAGTGATTATTCTCAATAACTTAAGTTTCTTACGTTTTATAAGTCAAAAAGTAGTATCAACTAAAAGTATATCATTAAAAGAACTAGAATCAGAAACGAAAACGTTTATAAGTGACGTTTAAGTACAGTTTAACATGTTCTTAACTTTAAATTCTCAATTCAGAAATCGTGTGATAAAGAATTTATTTATAATATTAGTAGACTCAAAGAGAATTTAAACATTACGTCTTAAGTAGACCATCTTCCATCGTATATACCACTACAACATTTTATAAAATTCATTTAAATTATCTGCAGTTAATATAATATGGCTGTGAACACTGCTTTATGCTTTCATACTTATTTATATTATACAGACCGTGAGAAGATGGTAAGCGAAATATCCCAATAAAAGTGGATGTAGTTAACACAATGTCGTGTTATACAAATCTGTTAAGTTTCGACAGATCCGCGCAGGGGCGGCTTAATCTATAGAGCAGGGAGTACAATGCACACGGGAGCCGATGATGATATAACAATGATATGACGGCGGCTTCTTTTTCGAAGATTTTGTTACAACTAGGCTCGTCTTTACCCATGGTGAGGGGGGTTCAACGCACTCAGGCGCCACGCACCGATGATCATCAGGAATACTCTGTAATGGGGGGGGGGGGGCGCCTGAGCACTGCTTGCGCTCGGGCGCTTGCTTTGCTTAAGACGAGCCTGGATCCGCGACACTTGAGAGGATAAAATAATTGTGAAAAAAAACTATGACAAGTACATTATGATGATAATCTTTTATTTGATAAATGAAACCAATTTCATGAAAATATCTTTACCATCGAGTTGATCCAATTGAACTCCTAATAATCTATATTATTGTAATATGAATATTGATAGTTTTGGCTTCTTCTTTATAAATATATAATTGACTGTGAATTACAATCCAGAAATAAATGCATAATCCGGTGTATATTAATGCCAAAGATAAGTATGTAGCTGCAAAAGTATATTTACCATTATAAAATATTTCAATACAAATAATAAGAGCCAATATAAAAGTAACAATAATATAAAATATCATAATCAATAAATATATCGCATATAGTTTTCTCAAATGAGAAAACCCGGCTACCAATAAAATTATATGACATATAAAAACTAAAAGACCAAATATAATGTGTAGAATTGATACTACTATGTTGAAAGACGCAGGCAATCCATTTTCATGCAGAATTTCCATTCCAGAAGATGTTGCCAGGAAGATGTAAACTGCTGTTGGTAAAATTCCTGATATCGCAATGACAAAAGGTGCTTTGCTTATAGGGATATAAAAACAACAATTAAACACGATAGGACAATTATATCCCAGAGAACTTTTTTTCATGATGAAGTCTGTATACCAAATAAAGAGTAAAATTAATTTATTAAATGTTTATAAATTCCCAAATTTATTGCAATTATCAAAGATTAAAGTATTATTACCCCAAAGAGTATAGTATAAAATTGGTAGAGAAAGAGTAATTGTATATAAAAAAATCTATCAGTGTCATCTATTTGTACAGCCCAATGGATGTTGGCAGAATTTCTGGGTATAACGGAACAAGGCCATATTAAAATAATATATATATAGCCAATGGCATGCTATCATAGAAATTATTATTCCTACATGGTCTACTTAAATATATCACAGATGTTCTAGGAGGGTTTAGGTTGCTAGATCACGGGTGCCCCCTCATAAGTAAATAAATAAATATTTTCTTAAATTAATCGTTTTATTTAATATTATGTAAGTAATATTTATTTATATAAGCAAATTATAATATTTATGGGAGTTTCAAGGTTTTTATTTTACATTACTGGGTAAGTAAAGATATTTAAACCGACTTTAAAATCCAAAAATAAGGAGGTTCTATAATCGTTCATATTTCTTTTTATTATATATGTTCACCGACTTCTTCACGAATCATTGACTTATTTTTAAAATTCTTTTTCTATTAGAGATTTTATGGGGTCAAGGTGAGTTCATATAATCGTAGTAGTATATAGTTCTTTGTTTATTTGATCAGTTTTGCATTCACAATGTTTCCAATGACTGACAAATTATATTTTTAGCGAAAAATATCAAAAAGTCAAATTGATCAAATATTATAATCGGAATTATGTATAATATTTATGAACATTGTTGAAAGTACGCTTGTTGTAGCGAACAAAGTAACAAGCGCTTGAAAAATTCGTCAGTCCTGTTAGATCCTGAGTAGCTCAGTGGATAGAGCAGTCGACCTCACTCGAGTAGAGTAGAGTAGCGAATTGACATCTAGGGGCAACGCGATGTGCCGAGTCGATAACTTGTATTCATAAAAACTAAAATACTGGGTGGAACAGAACGACCGACACTCCCGAGGTTCCTGGAGAGTACTATTTGTCTTTAATATAATGTATAAAAATTATAAGTCTAGGTCAAATAGTTTTAGTGATATTAAATTACAAAGTTTTTGAATAAAAATCAGTGTTGTCAACCCTGAGTCAGCTGTTTTTGGGACGTACTAAGGAAAAGTTTTTAATCGGTCATTGACTTCTTCATTTCTAAAAACAAAATAAACTAGTTTGTGATTTATAAGACTGCTTTCATGCAAATTCTAGCAGTCAATCAATAAACAAGGCAGTCAAAATGCTTAAATCGGTTAACAGACTAACAGCCGGTTTATGATTTGAAAAAAGAAGAAATTTTCTACTGCTTATTCTCAATAACCTAAGTTTTTTTTTAATTTCACAAGTCAAATAGTCTTAGTTTTATCAAACTGCTATCAAAAAACCAAATCGGAAACGAAAACTAAGTGATCTTAGTTTGAAACGTTTAACTTTACATACTCAATTAAGCAACCGAGTGTAAAATTTCCTAAATTATTGTAGAGAGATCACTCTAACATTAATCTACGTTATTTTAAAAGAGCAGTTCTCCATAAATTTTTTTTGAATGGGGTGATACTCCTTTAACAACGGGATCGTTAACTAAACTCGATAAACTCACAAATCTTCCAGCGATTCATCATTAACACAAATGAACTTTGTTTTAAAAACATTGAGGAATTTGTTATTAAAATAGCATTTAAAAAGAACTTTAAAAAATGAGTGATATCAAAAGACGAATAAAAAATATGAACCGAGTTCGTCCCTCAATATCAAAGCCCCGCCCACCCGCCAGCCGCCAGGCAGTTTTATTATTCTGTTGGTATTGTCCGGTCGATCACTCGCCGCCGACCTTTTGCGCTGGAGTGTTATTGCGCATCGCCGCCGACGCACCGCTGTGAAACGTCTTTTTTGTCGATTTTTGTTTTGTTCTAGTGCATTTTTAATTGAATTGTTGTTAATAAGATACTAGAGTGTTCGTCTTGAGTGTTATGTTTAGTTTAGTGAAGATTGTGTTTAGTTTTGTGTGAAATGTGATGTGTTTTGCGCGTGCATACACTGGCATGCAAAAGAGCGTACTTAGCTGTCTTCAGAGAAGAATTGAACATTTTCAGCATCGACTATCATTAAGATATCGGTAAATAATTAAATTAAATTAATGTATTTCGCGGTCCGTTGTAATCTGCGCACAATCGATATTGCGCATGCGCGTTAAAGGGCTGTCAACACCTAGAAATTTAAAATTTTTACTCCATTTTTACACCTCCTCTATTTTTAAATATTTGTCAAATAAAATGAACGTTTGTATGTAACCTAACTTGAAACTTTCGGCTGTGTCGGTTATTTTGTTCCTCCCGGTATTTTTTTTTCACTCGATTTCGCGTTCGAAAAATTCACTCGTGTGACTCAAGTAAAATCAGGTTTCGAGTCGCATCACCAAATTCTTGTATAAGTCATATAATACTACTCTTTGGTATAAGTCAAGAGGTTCTATTATTGGTCTGTGGTCAAGAGGGGTTGAGGGGGTTTGGATTTAGTGATTTTGTGGATTTTTTCAGGCTGTTGCTTTCCTAATGTAATATTGAATTAAACGACTTGACTTCTTTACATTCCAAGTGTGATTTTGTCTCTGAAGGATTCAACAAACAATCTATATTTTTCGAAATGGTAAATACAACCTTAAGTTTTCAACACTTCCTACATAATACCTCCCTTACGCACCATTTTAGTGGCACATACGTTATTGATTTTTATTACTTCGTGTACTTTTTATTAATTGTGACCTTGGAATTTCAGATGCAATTCATGCTATTATTTAGCCGTCAAGGCAAGCTTAGGCTACAGAAATGGTATGTGGCTCATCCAGACAAGTTGAAGAAGAAGATAACTCGTGAATTGATCACTACAGTGCTAGCACGCAAACCTAAAATGTGCTCTTTTTTGGAGTGGAAAGACGTGAAAGTAGTTTACAAGAGGTAAGCTGAAGTTTACATGTTAAGTATCTCTAAATGTAGATCTGAAAAGTCCATCCTGGACTTCGATTATTTTCTAGGAAGCCGTGCGATTCTGAAAACATTCGAACCTGAATTCTAATTCACTTAGGTGTCTGAATTCATTTCAAAAGCAGCATCTGCTTAACCTTGAATTGGTTATAACATTTCATGGCATAAGTGAGATTCAAACTAACATTTTAATAGATTATCTGAGACACATGTGAATCAATCAGTCTCATTTTGTATTATCATACAAAAATGGAATCAATAGAATTTCGGACACTAAGTGAATTTGGCTTCTGATTTTTATAGAATCACTCACTTTGTCCTGTCCATGAGACCAGATATTATATTACCATTTTTTTATAGTATTTGATATTTCTTTCTATTATTTATCTATCCTAATGTGTATTGAAAATACAGTAAGCAATGTTGAATTGGTTGAGGGAAGGAAAAAAATGTATAAAAGTTGGTTTAAAATATCAGTGTTTAAGACAAAACTTCATAAAACAGCAGACAATAGTTAATTTTTACAGAATTATTAATTACTCTTAATTTTTACAGAATTATATCTTGGAAACTAACACACTCCGCATCTTGATACATTGGAATATTTAACTACTATAGCCACTATATGTTTATGATCACAAAAGCAACCAAAATATTTTTGTTGACTTACATCTTATGTTATGGTCTACTTGGCTATGTTTAAGTTCATGAATTTTGACAATCAACAATTTTTTGTCATTAAATTTAATTCACTGTTTAACAGATATGCATCACTGTACTTCTGTTGTGCCATGGAGCAAGAGGACAATGAACTTCTTACATTGGAACTCATTCACCGCTATGTGGAACTGTTGGACAAGTACTTTGGAAGTGTAAGTATGATATTAATTGGGCATAAATCAGTATTCACTATATTCATTCTCATTTAATTTATAAAAAAACCAGATCTAATTTCTCTACAAAACAGTATGTTTTCCACTTGGTTACTGCAATATGAAAATAATATACACAGGTTGGTCCAAAAGGTATCCCTAATTGTTTTTGGATAGCTGAGGTACCCCATTTACATTAAAAATAAAGGTGAAGTTTTTAAGTAATTATTTTGTTTTTCCATTTTGAATCATTACCAGGTTTCATTATATACTTTTTTTTTGTAGAATAGTTCTTAAAATCTTTAAGAATTTGCAAAATAAAAAATAATTTAAGATGTGCAGTTCAATCCCTATGTATATTTAATGAAAAATTGCGATATTATACATAGGGTGTTTCTGAAAACCCTAACATTCATTTCTGTAGTTGCTTTTCTCACTTCATTCAAATTTTTGTTCATTGTCTCATTCAAACTTTTACTCAATTAATTACTTCTTATAGTAATTATACTTGATTACAAGAAATCCAAAGTTAATTTTAGGACATTTACTTTGGACCACCAAATGAAAATGCAGCTATGTTGACATATTTATGTCACTTTTACAGGTATGTGAGCTGGATATTATCTTCAACTTTGAGAAAGCATACTTCATCCTTGACGAGTTGGTGCTTGGTGGTGAGCTACAGGAGACAAGCAAGAAGAATGTTCTCAAAGCCATCGCTGCCCAGGACCTACTCCAAGAGGTCAGTAGCCAGGACAATGAGCTTGTATGAATCATGACATTGATCTAATAATTGATTTTTATCTCCTTATATTAAAATTTCTAAATATGTAGCCCTCTGTAGCGTTGCATAAGGTATACTTAAATTTTCTTCAGATATCATATTATTTTAAAAATTTGAATTGTTTTATGTAGGTATACAGCCTAATATCTAATACAATAGGAATAAAATATTTATTAAAATATGACAAAATAAAATAGCTACAAGGTAAAGGGTGGGAAATGACCTAGTTTTATATGCCCTTGTACTTTTTTTATCCCACTATTCAATTTTGTGAAATTGAAATTACTTCTGCTATATAAAGTAAATAACTAAAAACTGCTATTTATTAGTTAAAATTCCTTACTTTTTTTAAATAATATTAGCTATTGGTTGATCAAGTTAAGGAAATTTATGTCCTAAAAATTATGTTACTAAAGATTGCAATTCGAAAAATTGCTTAGAAGATGACAAAAGCACACACATTTACTGTTATTATTATTATATCAATGTCAATTTTGAAAACTAATTAAGAAATATAGTTTTTTGTCAGGCAAACTATCGAAGAAGAGGAATTATTAACATAAACTAAACTAACTAAAGTTAATTTATTGCAGTTTCATAATAGTATAATTTGTACTTTATACTTATACTTTTTAATCCTTTAAGGATATACTGAACTAGATAATATTTCATTTTGCTCATATATAATTGTAAACCTTTATATTAATTTACACTTTTAGAATTATTAGAAGTTTATATATAAAAATATTGTTTATTAGGAAATAAAAGGGTAATTCTAATGGTAAAAGAAGTGACTACAGCAAAAATGCTATAATTAGTCTTTCATATGTTATGTGGACCAGTATAGGACAGTGGCCTAAGTAGTGCCTTTCAGTGTGTCTAGGGAGCACTAGGGTATGTATTCTGTGTAGGTGCACTGCCTATTAGTTGGTTACGTTAAATTTAACGTAGCTAATATTAAATACATATCAAAGTTAACTGTGCAAATACTTCATTAGAAAAATGAAGCACTTTTAAATAATATTTGCACTAAATTATTGACTCTAATTGTTATAAATATTAACTATTACTACTTTAAAAGAACCAATTTAAATAGAATCTAGTAGCTTTGTTAGTGCCTGATAAAATAAAAAATAACTAGGTGTTACAATAGATAGCACATTAATAATGCAAACTTTTTATTGTATTTAAAGGTCAATACAGACTAAATGAAATACAGATTAAACGAAAATATCAATCGCGCTGTTTATTGTCGTTCTATAAAGACCTGATATTATTTCGTGACATTTAAGTATAAAACGCGGATCCGACATCTTGCCTATACTCAAATAAGCGAAGTGAATTAATTTTGTACTTAATCGTCATATTTGTGTAGTTCTTAATTTGATGACAATTAAAATGTGTGTAGAATTGTTTCCTTTTTGGTATGCGTTGGCTGTTTCAGTACCTTAATTATTGAAACGTCTTCAACACTTGACTTGTTTACTATACAAATAGCTAAAGGCAGCTTTTTCACATTCTATATTCACATTTCCTTTTTGTAGCTATAATATGCACTATAATTAATAACTCAAATAATAGTACTTGTTGCACATCCTTAATAAGCTGTCTGCCTATTTTAACAAATATATATAACGGGCGGGTAGTCCGAATGGGTTATTACGAAGCCCAAATAAATTGTCCATATCAGGGGACTATCTTTAAAATAATACTGCAGGCGTGTATACCAACGTGGATTTATTCCATTTTATCACTTTTCGTACGAAAATATAACAAGATGAGCGTGATCTCGTCGGATGTCTTTACTCCTCGGCGATCGGAAACAGAATGTCTGCCAAAATGGCGGCAACTTGCTTTATATTAACGAACTGTCAAAGTCAGTGTCACCATTCTAATAAAATTAAGGGTATCGATGATCACGCTCTCTTTACAATCGAGTAATTAAGTAATCGAGTAACTAGCAATTAAAATAAACTAAATCAAACGATCTTCGCAATGATGATGCGACATATATATTACCATATCACTTTCAAGGGATCAGTCCTCATGGATTGTTCTGTCAGGCTGACAGACCAACTCTCAGTAGCCAATCTGGTAAATCATTCACGGCTTCAATGAGAACAGTGTCCAAGTTTTAATTACTAGGGAGGAACATTTCTTTATCTTGCCATGACAGTCACGGATTGGGGGTGGGCATAGCAATTTTTTTTTTCAGGTACAAACAATAATGGCCCCTCTTTGTTTAATATTCTGTCCGTAAGTCTACATAAATAAAGCGTTACGTAAAGCAGCCGCCAAAACGAGATATAAATGTCGTCCCACTCCTTCTAATTGGGAAAAATATGTCTATATCCGCAATCAATGCAATAAGATGTGTAGGAATGCACAACGCCAATTTATTCACAACTCGATTGAAAAAGCTGATCCAGCAAAAATCTGGAAATTCCTTAGATCTATGGGCATTGGTAAACAACATCATACATCTTCTAATACGAATTTTGATATGAACCTGCTCAACAAACAGTTCTGTTCCTCTTATACTTTTGATTCGACAAGAAAGTTGGATACTTTGAGTTTTCTTTCTTCTATTCCAAGCCCTAAATATCCATCATTTGCTCTTCGTCAATTTTCCGACTGTGATGTTAAGGGGAGCATTATGTCAATATCATCAGGGGCCGTAGGTAGTGACTGTATTAGCCGAAAAATGATACTCCTTATCTAAGATGAAGTTCTTCCACTCCTTACACACATCTTTAATTACTCTATAAGGGCTGGGGTCTTTCCATCTGCATGGAAAGATGCTCAAGTCATCCCATTACCCAAAAAATCCAAACCATCATCCTCTTCCGACTACAGACCCATAGCAATCCTACCCTTTTTATCTAAAGTATTAGAGCGCCTCGTCCATAACCAATTATCGACTTTCCTTCTCAAGAATCGCCTCCTTAATCCATACCAGTCAGGGTTCCGTGCTGGGCACAGTACTACAACGGCATTGGTCAAAGTCACAGACGACATAAGGTCGGGAATGGAAAATGGAAAGGTTACGATACTATCATTGCTTGACTTCAGCAATGCATTCAACACTGTAGATTATGATATTTTGCTTGGCATACTGCGCTCTATTAACATATCTCCAGCGGTAATTGACTGGTTTCATAGTTACCTGTTTGGTCGCCGACAGCGAATTCGCATCGACAATTCTTTTTCAGCTTGGTGCGATATATCTGCTGGGGTGCCACAGGGTGGCGTTTTATCTCCATTACTTTTCGCTATTTTTATCAATTCTATTTCCAGTCAACTTATTTCGTCCTACCACCTTTATGCAGATGATTTGCAAATTTACTCCCAAGCACGACTAATCGAACTTCATCAACTAATTACTAATGTGAATGATGATCTGAACCGAATTTCTAATTGGAGTAAATCATATGGTTTAATAATAAATCCATCCAAGACTCAACTCATTATTGTTGGCAACTCTACGATGATTAATAAAATCGACTGGACTCAACTACCATTGATCACATTAACTCCTAGTGATTGTGTTAGGAATTTGGGTGTGCTAATTGACAAAAATTTCACTTGGGGTCCCCAAATCCAGGAAGTGAGCCGTAAGATGTTTGCTGCGGCTGGGTCCATAAGAAGACTGCGCAATTTCCTCCCTCTCGCCACTAAAACTGCGCTGGCACAAGCTCTCCTTCTCCCCATTTTGGATTACGCAGACGTTAGCTATCTTGACCTTACTGAGGAGCAACTTAACAAACTTGAGCGGTTACAAAACTTCTGTATCAGATTCATATTTGGTTTACGCAAATATGATCATGTATCCGATTTCCGTGCAAAACTCAAGTGGCTCCCGATTCGTCTTCGCCGGAATGCGCATATTGTTTCCCTTCTTTACAGTATTTTGTTTAATCCACTTTCGCCATCTTATCTTAAGGAACGTTTTAATTTCCTTCATAATACCCACACTCGAGTTTTGAGATCATCATCTTAAAATTGGAGACACCGATGCATTTCACGAAATTTCTTAACAAATCTTTTATAGTTCAGGCTGCACGTCTCTGGAATGCATTGCCCGAAAATATAAGACGTGCGCAAACGGTAGATAGATTCAAAAATCTAGTAAAGGAGCACTATCTGTCATTATGACCTTTTACACTATATACCTATATATATTTATTGTTATAGTATGTTTGATAATTATCTATGTATGTTTATATCATGTACATTTAAGACACCATAGACTACCTAATTATTGATTTAAATTAAAATTTTCCAAAGTAACGGTTGCCTGGAAGAAATTGCTTCTTAGCGATAAGGCCGCCGATTGTACTATTTGTCCTATATTATTGTTACCTATTTTATTTATTGGTGTTTTTGTACAATAAAGAATTATTCTATTCTATTCTATAAATAAAGCGTTATTATACATTTTAGGTATCTATAAGTATATAATTATTTTTATTTAATAACTACTTTTTGGGGCTCAATCAGGATTTCAGCTACACGGTAGAGCCGATGGCGTAAAAATAATGATAGATCTTAAAATACTCATTTAATACCAATTCATTTCGGTTATAAGAAGCAAATAATGTAAACCGGAATAACCTGTCACAGAATATTTTGGTTATCTTTAACCAAATTGATTCTGTTTTTGTGTGTTCGATAGTTATGTGAGTTTCAGGTGACCACTGTAATTGAAACAAAATACGCCAGAGTTGGTGGTAATCGATTACTTTTTAGATCACATATTTAATTAAAAGGGCACGGCGAGGCTCCACAAATTATGAGAAAAAATACTTGATAACAAGTAAAAACCTCTATCTGAAGTTTCGGTAGCTTTTAACAGATATATTTCAGTTGTTTACCCTAACCCTTTAAACTGTAATGAACGTCAAATTTGTATGGATAATGTAGCTTTAAACTTATGAACAATTTAATGGACGTTTGTA